ATCAGCGAGGGGTTCACACTATCCGCTGATCTAACTTGCTCAAGTCGATTGATTTCCCAGGCACAATTTGTAACAACTATGCCCTATTGGGTAGAACTTTACGATTACGAAAGGCGTGGACTGCTTCCGAATACGAGCATCTCAACCAATCCTCCCAACATACCAGCAGTAAGGTGATTCAAACTCAAGGAGCCTGAGCAGATTATCTATGATTTATATTGCATGTTCCGCGGGAAAGCTGAACCCTTTCCTACTCCCTTCTCTTCCATTACTCGTTTCAGATGCCTTTCAAAGTTACGACCACTTATGAAAGAGAACACGGATCGCAGTTTTAACCAAGATTGATTCTCGCTTATATCTAAAAAGCAAAGATCTCAAAACATTGAACAATTATTGAGTATCAATCGTACTCTGACTTATGCACTATCCGACTGGTACTAAATAATTGTTACTTCGTTCTAGGATCTTTGCTTTTCGGAAAAAAATTGAATCTTCGCAAGCGAAACTGCTTCTGTAAAGCTTGATCTCTGCAGCTATTCTCACATAGAGTTATAATTCCTCTACGCTACTCTACACACCAATGTTAACGTCTGCTACATCCGGGCGGTTGAATCGAAACTGTCGCTGCGCGGTGAAAGCGACGTCGCGCGCAAAGGAATGTAGCAGAATGGAGCAAAAGCATGGCAGCGTGCAAGGAATACAGGAACTAAAGGAGCAACAACAGAATCATGCCAAAATAATAGTCTCACATCGATCGAGCTGTAAGAAGAAAGCTAAAACTGCAATAACGAGGCAACTGGTCCGCGACTGCTGTGTGCGGCGAATCGATTACACAGAAAAGATACAACTGCCCATCTCCCCTACACCCTCTGATAAAAATCCTCAACAGTAGAAAACCTTTTTTATTGAAGCTTCCGCTGATGAACTATCACCTTCCCATAGTTCTCCCGTTATTCACAATTGTTCAACGGCTCCCCTCTAAGAGCTTTTATTTAACTCGAGGTGACATCATTATATTTCCCCCTGTTCCAGGCCGTCAGCTGACCCAGAGCTGTGTTGTAAACCACTGATCTTAGCCTGGCTTCGCTTAATTGGTAGCACACCCGCCATGAGCGTTTATTCCATGGAATTTCGCAAGTACATACCCTTTAGATAGCTGTACTGTCTCAGATTTAACGTACTTTTGCCTATTGTTCTCACCCACTTCACTGCGCGTTCTGCTCAAACGACTACTAGACATATAGTTGCAAAAACTTTCGCAGCATTAAAGATGCTTCAACCTCGACATTACAACACCTTGGTTTTACCTCAACATGCATGGAACCAACCCTTCAATAATCTCCCATATACCATTCAACTTGGTTGGTTGGTTGGTTCATACCCATTTCCAATTCTGAACTTTCTTGCACGAAGTTAGCTCCGTCAAACTCGTGCGATTCCTGCTTACCATATATAGTTCGTTCACCACTACTCCTTTGCTAACCTCTCCACACTGTTCAGCCCGGTTTCAAACTTTTTCCCCAGAGTTGCAGGTGCTCGTAGCAAGTATGTACACTCTCGTGTGGTCATGCCTCTGTTTGTGAGTGGAGCTTCACTCTGATAAGTACCCTTAGCTCACTCTGGGGAACGCTGTGTGCACCGCAAGGTATCTTTGGAACCTTATTCTCTCTCCCTCTGTGCTGGAAGTATAAGATAGATTTTACATAAGTCCCTGGCCTGTCATGTAAAAAAAAGCTTCACTAACCCACATATGCTTTGTCCACCTCGAACATGACACAACGCTTCGTAGTACGCATAATACCAACTAACGAGAAAAATTGAAATTCGCAGAACAGAACTGTACATCGCAGGTTAATTCCTATTCAGTTATTCGTAATCTTAAACCGATCTACATCTCAGCTAGTGACGAAGACTGAGCAAGCTCAGGCCACAGTAGCCAGGCAAAGGGAAAGGAAAAGGAAAGAGACATAGTAGACGGCATGAGAGAAGAGCATCATGCCTCTCTTCCAGTGCTAACCTCTTCTAAACACCGACAAGAAAGGATAGAAAGGGATGATGAAAGTAGAACTACGTGGTTTGAGTGAAAATTTGGAATAACTGTAAGTTTCCTTTACTTGAAGCTTTCTCTGGGGGACTGCAGAAACTGTATCGAACACGAAAGAGTGCAAATTCAGCACTTGAGGGAGTTTTTAATTTTGATTAGTACTGAACAGAATTAGAAAAGAAACCCGTGCATTGGTGGTCAGAAAATCGATATCAACTTTACAGCAGTACGATCGGAACGACCCATGCAAAAAGTAACGAAAGCAAACAGAAGAGGATAATTTTACAAAATGTCAACGATATTCTGAATGCAAGCGAGGCTACGATTCTGTTTGCAATTGCTGAGAGGCTTCTTGAAGCAGTACTTTTTCCAGTTTCCGATCCAGCTGCTGAGGTAGAATTTGATAATATGTTTCTTTCGCAGGAGAAACCATGTAAGCTTCTAGAAGAAGAAAGTCTAGGATGGACAAAAAATAAAGCTTAGGCCTTAGCATATACTCACATACCAAATTTGTATTTTCTTAGAACGCTATGATTCACACTTGCAGCTCAATCAGGAGTTCGAATGGATTCAAAAAGGACCAGGAACCTTTGCTTGATGCAAAATAGCCAACACCTTTAGGTGCGTTATTAGCCACCACCTCCACTCACAGGGTCGCCGAATACTCGAACAGCGTTGCCTTTACAGACATGTTCTAAAGCGAACACAATGCGCGATACACGAAATACGTACCGGTCCCTGTAACACCAACTCTGTACAATGAGAATCACTCAACAGCACGGCTCGAAAATAGCCACCGATGAATAGAATACTAGAAAAGAGGGGGAAGAGTAGAGATGCGACACAGTACCAAAACTGGACCTCCACCAAAAACATGCTGATTCTTATTGTCTTACTAGATCATTTGATTTCCTGTACGAACAAATTTTAGGATAGGCTGCCAAGTAGATGTTTTAGGTAAGTGGCATTGCTTGGTTGCAGCGCATTACGTGAAATTTTTGCCGCTCAGAAACGAAAGCTAGGCAGAGCCAAATCCAGAACAGAATTACGGAAATCTCATTAAAACACTGAATAAACTGATCTTTTACCTCAGACACTAAACTTGTTGATTGCTAGTATCTCTCTCTGTCCCCCTTTCTCTCTTTCTGAAAGTCTATGCCTCTCCCTACCCTACAGCAACCTTCCACAAGTAATAAACACTCGCAGTAGACTTTACAATCATTTGTACATCCATATCCCTCAAGAAAAAAAAGATATTGAAGTCTCCTATGCTTATCATATTAAACATGAAAAAAGCCAATTCGGCTACCAACGCTAAAGCCGAAGAAATCTGTTTTCGATAAATCAGATGGATTTTTGAGAGTTTGCTATCCACAACCTATATTTTTTCTAGAATCACAAAGCGTCGAGATTTATGAAAATTTATGAAATTTCAGAGGGATCTGCTACCCATGTCCATACTTATTTCTGATATCACAAAGCAGGGATAATTCAAAAGATGCAAGGAGCCTTTCGCAGTAAATCTGCCCTCCCCCCCTCCCTCAGTAAAAAGACAGCATGATGCTTACTAACCCATGCTGCTGTTGCATGCATAGTGCAGAAAGTGCATTTGCCCTAAACAATGGTTAACCGAAGAAAGTACTCCAGTGTCAGTGCTTCTCCCCTTCCATTTTACGGAACGTAAGGCTTAAAAGCCTGGCTGGCCTGAGCGGGAAATGATCGAAGAAGTATTACGGCCCTTGCTCATAGTAGCGGTGCTTCTTCGCACCATCCCATTGCCGCCGTTGGGCCTTTCAATTGACATCCCTAACTTGTGATTAAAAGAATCCGATTAGGAATTCGCAGACCTGAACATTAAAGTTGCACAGAGCTATCGGTATAAGATTGTATACAATGTGCAGTGAACTAGCCGATTCGCTCTATGAAATGGGTTCCCCTGTTCAAGCAACCCCCGTTATTTCGTTCGGAATTTCAAAATGTTTCCGAAAGGAAAAAGCAAATGTCGGAATTTTATAAAATAGTTGCTCTCGAAACCATGCAGTTCGACGTTTGACGTCAACAAAAATCGCCCCGATGACGATAGGAAAAATAGGATCGATATTCAAATATATAGAAAAAAGGAGTTACACAGCCGGCAGACACTTAACTAAATTGATTTGACATTGCAAATGCGTCCCCATATACGCACGACTAGACCCACTTGCATTAGAAACAGGAAACCCATTCAGCCTATTCCTCCAGTTTAAAGGACTTCCTCGAAGTCAATCTATTCTTGCCTGCCACTACTGCATATCGAATGGCAAACTGGGACATCTCAATCAGAAATCAATGCGGAAATCCATCTTTCCTGGACAGACACTCAGCCTCGCCACGACAAGAGAATTAGCGGTGATACTCCCATAAAAATTAATTGAGGGTAAGTAAAGGTATATTGTGTCTGTTTTTCAAAAAACAGAGTTGTTAACAAATTTAGCTAGATCCCTGAAGAGAAACGAAAGGCAGTTTTACGCAAAAGGGATCCAAATACAGTGAAAGAGGCGACTAATGAGAACAATGTCGACAAAACATTAAACAATATACAAAAACGTCCTAGTCTGCGATCCTTCCAAGTGAAATGATTAAAGGAATAAATCGCAAGCCACCGCCAGATCACTAAATAAAAAACACGCTCCTGTTCACGACTTTGACAACATACCTGTATCGACATCAGCCCGACGAGCTCAACTCTAAACGCGAACATACCTTATTGGAAACTTCTACGATCGGATGATGATAGTTGATATTGGTCACGGGAAGACAGGCCTATGACGTCTATGCTTTACTATATGTCATAACTTATACAACCATTCAATTGTATCACTAGATCACTTCGACGCTTCCACTGTGAGGATGGATTCTTGCCTGATCCAGCTCGTTCGCGACGCATGTGGCTCACACAGATACTATCCCCGCCCCTCATGTGTTGCCTCAAGAGAGAAGAATTCAAGTGGAGCTAATTTGAAATAGTTACCAATATAGTCAAGTAAAAATTTAGCTGTTTTCCTTGATCACAGCTTGACATAAGTTGATTCAAAATCCAAAAATAGGAAATTTCTCTAGCTTTCGGAAAACTAACGATCAGAAACTTGCGTGTCTTTAGCGAGAAAGACATTGGAGGAAATAAGTCTATCGTTTTATTGCTTCTTGACGTCATACCGAGAGATTCTTCGAAAGCTGAGTATGCGAGCGCCAGACGAACATTGCCAGGAATATGCTGGCGCGCACGACGATATACCGACCTAGCCGCATCCGATCCCCGTTGCTTACGCATCCAACGACCATACTGAAACGAGAAAATGACGCTATAAAACAATTCATAGCATAAAATAGTTGCCTATTTGTCTGTCTGACTGTCCGTCTGTTTGTTTGTATGTATGTCTGTTTGACGTAGAATTCAGGTGGTTAGGACCTAAGGCAAGATCAACAGAACTTACAGTAGCGCTTAGAACCCTTCGGCGAAATGCTTTTTTAGGTCGTACTTTTAAGTCGTGATCCCTTTCCTACTGGACCTAGCCATGCAAAATTTCAGTATGTATAGCATGGGTGTTTTGCGGACATTAACCCCTATTTTCCTGAAATCTGATCATATCCACATATTCCAAAGAGTTTGAACTCAAAATCAATTGGAAATACGGACAATGGTCCTACACAGACTTCTTTATTAGCGGGTTCGACAGCTGTCTCGGAACAGGAAAAAGGGGTAAGGTTATTGAAGGAAGGGTGGCCAAACTTTAATAGGAAGGGCTTGCACTGACGTATGCGGGGCTTGCAATGGGGTGAGCGGGGCTGAGACCAACTTTTCGCGCTCTGTTTGACGTTCACTAGTCCGGAAAAAAGATTGTAATTATGAAGGAATGTCATCAAGCGCTGTACTTACAGCATTCTGTCGGGCTTCCAACCTGCATATACGCCCCCACTATTTAGATGCGCTGAGTGTACCTTGGTTTCTCGGTGCATTTATGTTTGTGTGTATGTAAGCGTATGTGGCGGTGTGTGTCGATGTTTGTGCGTGAGTGTGTTTTTACAGGCCCCAGTTCTCCTGGCTCTAGAGCATTTAATTTCTGGAAAAAGTACAGGCGACACGATGGGGACACCGGTGTTAAGTAGCATGACTTGATCCCGTTCAAGGGGTCGGGGCGTGCGCGAATATTTGAACACGGTAAATATTTATAACTGCTGGGGTCGCGTCCGCGAAAAGACGGGGTGGGGAGAGGGCATGCATGAAATGAGCGTAATTTGAGTGGAAACACGCAGTAAAGCAGGAATAAGATAGGAATGAGCTAAGTGACTCATACATAGAGGCTTTGAGCAAGACTTCGTTCATGGCGAGCAGGGCACACACTAACCAGGGAGGGATAATCTACTTACCGCGGGACTTTGAATGGAGACCCAGATAAATCGATAGTTTTGAATGCTGTTAAGGAAAATGGAAATTAATACTGCAAAATGATTTCACTTGAAAAGTTATGGGGGCTCAAAATTTGCTTGACAGTAGTGGGATTGGATATGCTGGATATGCTGTTGCCGCTCCTTTATCAAGCGCCAACATGGCCTAGTGGTAGTGGTCTCGCTTCATAGGCGTTGGATGAGGGTTTGCTCTGCGTCATCGTCGCCACTTTTGCAAAGAGTTTTTTCATTTCATTAACCCTTTGACGACAATGCCGTTTTCGACGTGACGCGCCCATGGGACCACGCCTCCTCCCTTTCGTGCGCGACTGGCACCCACCGGTGGGTGCCATGGTCCCAGGAAGAACTCCTTTCTCTGGCCCAGTAAACGTAGCAATATTTTCGCACAACAGAAGCGTCAGATATTATTTTATCTTATATGAAACTAAGGCTTGAATTGCACTTCGAGTTTGGAGGCAACTCAGGTTAGAGTTTTGGTAATAGTGTAATCAGTAGGAATTCGTATAACATCCAGGGAACTTAAGGATAAATAGAACGACCGCACGATCACATAATCGCAAATCAGGTAATCTAACAAGGGAAGGATCCCAAGTCGAAGTGGCCATTCGAAATAAGCCTACACTGCCAGACGTACTTTTTGATACTGATTTCAAATCTGCATTCAAAATCTGCCAAACGATTCTCTGGACGAAGTTATGAAGCTGGTCTCCGGAGAGCGCTCAACAGGGGGAAAGCACAAAAGACATGGTTGCCGGTACCCAGCAAATGGTAGCTTGGAGTAAAGGTAAGCGTGATGCTTCACAGGCAAGAGACCAAGATCGGGTTCGATGGGCGACAGCGTTTTTGCGTTTTGCAGGACTTTACTCCAGGTTGTAAAGATCTTTTTATATTAGTCTTACCGCCTTTGGCAACTTTTTGAAAGCTCGAGGAGAAGCAGATCCTGCCTAAACAGTCTTCCTCTCCGCAATGATATTAATAGTTTTTGGAAAAGATTGAGGTTGAAGCCAGTTTTTAAAAGTAAGGGTTGCAGCGAGGCAAACGCGTCAATGTATGGTATATATGGATGGATGCAACACTAAAGAACAAGGAACTCGTCCGCCCAGAGGCTGTAGTGTCGCACCTGTTGAAGAACTTTGGTTCCTGTGACGTCGGAGGTGCCCCTACAAGGAAGGAGCAGAAATTGTAGATAGTTTCTCTTCTATCTTGCGAGATGCCACTTACGAAGACCTCGATATTGAGTGCGAAGAAGACTGTAGGATGATGAAGAGGAAACGACATGCACATCTAGAGGGTCGTTGATGTTTGTAATATAGGTGTCCAAAGAGCAGGTAGGTACAAGTTCCAAAGTTCCCCTCCCAAAACATTTATTAGAGCGCGATAACCTAACTAATCCTCGCAACCTCAAATCCAGATGTCAGATGGTTCAAGCAGGAACTGCTTCACCTCGAGC